TCCCTAGTCTTTCTTTGTAAATGTTTCCAAGTAAGGCACCAATTTATTTCATACATCCAAAGGCTCCATAAATGGTATCATGAAGCTCGCCTTCTTCGTCCTGTTTGTGAGGTACACGTTAGGATACATGTGTCACAGTTCAGGTACTGGGAGCAGAGTCATATGAAACTCTGGAGTTAAGGCCACATCCGAGGATAGGCTAAGTTAGCCCAGAGAGAAAGAAGCCATTTCTAACATTTGGAGGGTGGCTGGACAAACTAGACAGAAAGAGGGAAGAAATCACAGCCTCATGGAAAGAGGAAGAATGGAGAGAAGACTGCCTGTAGAGATCACAGCAGCACATGGCACGCACAGCTGCTGTCTTCCTCTGAGGACTGAGGCATACAAGGCAAGAGGAAGGAAAAGCAGGACCGTAAGCTAAGGCCAACCACCAGCAGGTGGCACAGTATTTGGTACTCACCCAATGGCTACTAAATCTTCGTGATGAGGTGAACAAGTAAGACAGAAAATGGTCCTGGGCTCCGGGAAAAGATGCTGGCTGTCACTTCTGTTAAGCCAGTAACAGAAAATAACTCCTTTTTCATCCCCAGAGACTATTAGGTCCTTAACTGTCGGAGACCAATGCAGTGCTGATATTGTGTGCTTCAAACAAAGCAAAGCCGGATTAGTCTCATTTGTCAATGTTGTATAATAAACCAGCCGAATGCTAGGCACATTACAGGCACTTAAGAAGTATGTTGTAACTACCTGCAGAGCAATATAGTAAATCTAAAGTTACAACTTTTCACGTGGTTTTGAGACACAGTTTCACGTGGTAGTCCAGGCTGGCCTGGAACTCAAGGCGATCCTCCTCTGCCTCCTGAGGACTAGAACTGCAGCCATGTACCACCATGCCTGGGGACATGGACACGAACACACACACACTCTTTATATATGCTTACTTTTTACTTACGTGTGTGTGTGTGTGTGTGTATGGAGGCTAAAAGAGGGCATTGAATTCTCTGGAGCTGGAGCTGGTTACGGGACAACCCACAAGGATGATGGGAACCCAACTTTGGGTCCTTTGGGACAGCAGTTAGCACTCTACACCGATGAAGCAGCTCTCCAGCCCCTATGTTTTTTATTTGTTGTGTTGGGAGCGTGCAGTACTTTTATGTGGGTCCTAGAGATTACACTACTCAGGGCTGGAGAGATGGCTCAGTGGTCAAGAGCACTTGCTCTTGCAGAGCTTTGGTTCCTAACACCTACATGGTAACCATCAGTAACCTCAGTTTTCCTCTTGTCTTACTACCACAGACACCAGGCACACAGGCAAACTCAGGTCATCAGGCGTACATGGCGAGTGCCTGGACCTGGAAAGCCATCTTATCTGCCGGGCGTTTATTTTATATGAACCTATTGATTCTTTCAGACCGTGTGGGCCGTGCTCTCCGTCACTGTTCCTCAGCTCTGTTGCTATATCATGAAAGCAACCATGGCTGCTGTTCCAGAGGTCCTGGGTTTGATTCCCAGGGCTCACACAGCGGCTCTTAACTATCTATAATGGGACCTGAATGTCCTCTTCTGGTGTGCAGACAAATAAGAGACTTAGTGACTGTAGCCATACTTTAACTTGTGGTTTCTCTCTTTCCTTCTCTCCCTCTCTTTTTTTGAAGAGAGGATCTCCTGTAGCCCAGGCTGGCCTTAAACTTCCAATCTTTCTGCCTCCATTTCCCAAGTGCTACGATTATAAGATGTGCCCATTTATGCAGTACTGGAGACTGAGCCCAAGACTTTGAGTATGCTAGGCTGGCAAGCATGCTACTGATTGAGTTACCACACCTACCCGAACCTCTGCTTTCTAAGCAAAACAAGCATCTTAAAAAAAAGGGGGGGGGGGGAAGGTGTGAGAGACCTTCCAACATACCTAACTTATGAACACAAATTATTAACTTTCCTTCACACGGATGAGACATATCAAAACATTCTGAGGACTCGGGACCCACTGTTACCTGATGGAGTGTGTGCTCTGTCACTACGGCCTTGGTCTCTACATCCCAGATTTTCACAGTCCCATCATCCGAGCTGGTGGCACAGAGGTTGTATTGTCCAGGGTGATGAGAAAACGTGAAGCCAGATACTCTTTCAGTGTGTCCCACCAACTCTCCTACAACTGCAAGTACATCCAGACTTGGTTAACTGTACCACTACGCAATCAGAGAGCACGCTGCTGGATGAACAACAGCACGCAGCTGAATGGGAGTCGCTTAACACACGTGGAACAAAGACATACACAGATCCATGCCAGGTGCCAGTGATGCCCATACCTTTCTCCGTACTTCAGTATTCTCATCTATAAAGTAATTTTCGTGTCCTTTGTTGAGCCAAGTTCACAGGCTGAGGACCAGTCCTAGTCTACCGGTGACCGTGAAAGCCATATTTACTTAATCTTGCCATAGGTCATAAGGAATAGGATAAAGTTGGTATTTCGTAATGCAAGGCATAATCAAATCTTGTTTTTTGTTTGTTTCAGTCTCTTTTGAGTCAGGACCTCGTTACGGAGCCCTGGTTGGCCTGGAACTCACTTATGTAGTCGTAGGTAAGGCTTCGAACGCGCGGCAATTCTCCAGCCCCAGCCCTCCGAGTAGTTGGGATCACGGACAAGCATCACCGCATCTGGCGCAAATTCAGTCTCACACATTCATCTTACAGAAACCAGGATCCCGTTCATTGCCCAGCGGGAGCAGGGAACCGAGAAGAGCCCCCACCCCACAGGTAGAAAGGCCGGGAGGGCGGTAAACGCCGGGTCTAGGCTGGGCCAGCCCCTACGAGCGTAGGAGCCCACGTGCGCCCGCGGCCCGAGCCGCGACCTACGGACCCCGGAGAGAACGGCGGGAACGACCGCGGCGGCCCGTGGGGGGCTCACCTCGAAACGGAGGCGCCCCTGGGCTCGCGCCCGCGCCCGGGCCCACGCGGACGAGGAAGACGGAGGTCCGCGCAGCGAAGCCAAAGACGCCTCCGGGTGCTGCGTCGCTGCAGCGCGCGCAGTACCAGTTGGGGGATGGCGGCAGCGTCCGCGGCTCTGGTTTCATCTCCGCGGCCGCCGAAGCCCAGCCAAGCAGCTCCGCTAGGGTGGTTCGCGACCGCGGCGTGTAGCGGCAGGGGGCGGGACTAAGGTGAACCCCGCCCCTGGAGGTGGGCGTTACGGAGCGCGCCGAGGCCCAAGCCGCGCCGCTCGCTTGCGCGCTCTGCCTGGGACTGAATTCTAGGCCCCGAGGTTAAGCCTTTCCCTTAATTAAGGGATTAGACCCGTGGAACCCGCCAACCAGCCACTGCTGTTTAATCTTCAGGGCAGTTAAATATTCCAATCCATTGTTTTTTTTAAACGATACGTAGCGGCGTACTTTGCCAGGGAGGTGTTTTAAAGACAGCTCTGGCGTAAATCCCAGCCTTCGGGAAGCTGAAGCCGGAGGACTGCCGTGAGCTCCAGGCCAGGCAGCCTGGGCTATAGTGTGAGAGCCTGTCAAAATAACTAAAACGAATCAAGATTCAGAAAGGGCAGGAAGAGTTTCTGCAGTTGGGTGGGAGTTCTGATTCCGGGTTCTTGATATTCAAAGATTAAGATTTGCCGTGCCTCCTCCTGCGGATGGAGTGCCAATGCTGTGAAGAGAGTGTGGTTAGTGACCCGGAGGAAAAAGAACGGGCCTCTCCTTACAACTCAAACCTGAGTAACTTGCCCGGATTCTGTTGTACTTCGGTACCGCCAACTGCCCTCCCTGAAAGTGGCTTATGAGAGAGCCCGACGCACGCCAGCATAGCCTAAGGGCGTTAAATTCAGTCACCTGGCCCCACATTGATCACTAGTTTTGCCAGTAACTCAGATCAGATCTGTCTCTGCATGGGCCACCGTGCAGGGCAATTTAGTTTTTGAGTTTTCTCAGTGATGTTCACAAACTCGTGGAATTAGAGTGATCTTTCCCCTCTCTGTTTCTTTTTTGAGATGGGATCTCACTATGTAGTTCTGCATGGCCGGGAATTTGCAGCCCAGGGTGGCTTCGAACTTGTGATCTTCCTGCTTCAGCCTTTCATATGCTGGAATTACACACATGAGCCACTATGCCAGGCTTCCTTGCTTCTGAGACAGAGCCTGACAGCGTGTCCTTGCACTCATGATTCTTTATTTATTTATTTTGCGCTCACGATTCTTTAACCCCAGTCTTTTTTGTGTTGTGTTGATGCTAGTCATTTCTAACAAGAACCCTGAGACCCACTGGGGATGCAGTTTGATGAAGCAGCCTGCCTCCATCATAGGCTTCAAAGCCATTGTATAGTAAAGATAAACCAGGTTTATTCCTGTTTGATTAAACCGCTGTTTCTCAAGGACTGGGCTATATGCCCCACCTGTAACTGTACAAATGGTTCTGTAGTGCCTGTTACGGGAAATAGCAACCATGTCTCCGTTTCTTTGTTAGAACCACTTTGCAATCATGCTGTTCTTTCAGGAGATCAGTATGACCAGCTTATTATGCGAATGTTCTGCTCCTGTAGTCCCACCTATTTTGCCTGCCAAGTCCCTCATTTAGAGACCCTCTGCCCCTTCCTTGTGTCCAATGCTGGCTTCTCAAAGTTTAGGGAAAGGCAGCTCGTATACACGAATAAAAAAAGCTTGCTTTAACCAATCGCTTGCTTTAATTAATTTGGCCATGATGATTTGGGTCGGTATTCTTTCTATATCTTTGGCCTCAATTCTTTAAGGATTAACAGGTTCCCCTGCTCTTTTCAGGTTGTTTATGAGGCGAGACCACAATTTTTCTGAATCCAGGTGAGTTCCCGGAAACCCACTGATTCTTTGTCTTTATGAGGTCATTCAGTCCAAAGAAAGGCTGGTCTGACCAGACTTTACGCAAAAAACAAACAGCCCCCCCTCCACGCATTCTGGTTTCCATGACAACGCAATCAGAATTTCCGGGTCGGGGAGGCGGGCTTCGGACCGCGCATGCGTGCAGTCCGCGGGCGTCTGAACTCCGGGGCTTCCGTAGGGTCAAACATGGCGGCCGCCCTTCTACGAGAGTTGGGTAAACCTTAAGGCTCTCTTAGGATTTGGGGAGGGGAGACTGTGAGAATCAAACTTGACGTCTCGTATTCGTTTTTGTAGGTTCACTGTGGGTACCTCACCTGAGGATCTGGGCAACGCAGGCGCTGCGGTAAGTCTCCTGCCACGGAGATTCTAGCCGGGTGCGTGTGGTCTGCATCCCTCCCAGGACGCTTGTGTGCCAGGCTGCGTTTTAGGCCTCAGGCGGAGGGCTGCACTGCCCGAGACTGCTGTGTGACCTTGCGAAGACTGTCACTCCCGAGGACTCTTCTCAGTGTTTTCTGAACAGCCTCTCCCTATCCTCTGGCCTTTGACTCTTCCACGACCACAAATCTTCCTAGTTACTTCTCTGATTACTTACGTGGACAAGGAGTGCGCCTCAGGCAACTGGGGTTTTGAACCTTATGTTCTGCAGAGTGTTCTGGAGCCTCTCGAGAAAAGCCTTCGTTTTTTTTGTTTGAATCGCTCTACATGGGTCAGGCTGGCTTCTGCTTCCCAGTTGTATAGGCTGGGATCCCAGGTCATGCAACATCATGCCTGGAGACAAGCATTCTTGATTAGAAGTTAAGGAATGCAGTTGAGTTAGCACTGGCATGAAGCCATAGGGCACTTAGAAAGTTTTGATTACATATATAGTACTTGTAGATTAATTGCTTCATTTGGAGCAATAATTTAACTTCATTGTGGTAGTTTAAGACTTATTTCAGACTTGAGAAAGGTGTACGTATTCATAAAACTTTGTCGCTATTAATTCATGGCATACTTAATTTCCCAAGCATTATACTTAATTTGCGAAATCTGCATTGAGGATCTGAGAAATGTAAGGCACTGGTGCATGAGGGCATGTCAGATGACATGTATCTCCCAGTGAAGAAATCTTGTTTAATAGTTTATATAGTGGCTTCTTAGAAGCATTGAAGTCAGCACTGAGCAATTCATGGTTCTGTCATCCTGTTGTGAGTGATGATATAAAACAATGTTAGAGGCCTTCGGGACATAGGCTCATTGCTCTTACACATATGAAAACCAAGGCCCAAAGAAGTGAGAGTGTACCCACTGGTTTTAAGTATGTAGAAATGTAAACAACCATGATTTAAGCTGGAGAAGAAAGTTTGAAGTTGGGTACTGTAAGGTCTAGAGATCACAGGCATATTGGAGGATTGACAGGATAGACACCTGTTCAGTGGGCCTCATTGTCAATGACACTGTCCATCAGTGCTATGCTGTGTTGGATACTGAAGGGTGTGGTGTGACATATTAATTTGTCATCCAACAACAACAGAATGAAGTTCATTTTACTCTCATACTACATGTAGTTATATCTGAAATTTACTGAGAGGTCTGTGAGGCTAAGCATTTCACTAGCAGTATTCTATTTCTTCTGTATGGTTTTAAATATATTTGATAGGTGTCAAACTGAAGCTATTACCTTTACTAATGCCTGGGTGTCCCATTTTGGCTGTGGGGTTGTCTACATGTGGCTTCCAAGTCCTTTTCATATGCTTCTGTGGTTTGTGCTAGCCTGCTTGGTTTGTGGTCTGGAAGGCTGTTTCTTGCCTGTCTTGAATACTTCCTGCTTAGGATCTTGTGACCGGCCATTTCCTCTAGAAGTTCGGTTCTTTTCAGTAGGAAATACTTTAAGAACAGAATCTAGGGACCAGGGTGCTCACTGCTTCCAGATGAGTCACTGTTTCCAGGCTTGATTTAGGACATTTCAGTCCTCTTCTTAAGTAGGTATCTGCTGGTTCCCTCACCAAGACTCTCAGTTGTCAGTGACACCAAGAAAGAGAAAGAATTATAGATAAAAGATAAAAAGATATAATCATGGAGAGATGGCTCAGAGGCTACATCACTGGTTGTTCTTCCAGAGAACCTGAAATCCAATTCCCCAAACCACAAGTTGGCTAACAACTATATGTAACTACACCTCTAGGGTATTTAATGCTGTCTTCTGGCTCCAAGGGTAATGCATGTCCATGGTGTAGGCGTACAGATAAAATAGCCACACACATACGATGAAAGTAAGTCTTTATAATGTATAAATAATAAACTGGGCTTGGTGGCACACAGTTTTAATACCAGCACTTGGGATGCACAGGCAGGTGGATGTCTGTGAGTTTGATGGCAGCCTACTTTATAGAGCGCTCCAGGACAGCCAGGGCTACATGGAGAGACCCTGTCTCAAAAAAGCCACACTCACAACATTAAAACATATAAATAATAAGATAGTTACTCATTTCTCTTACCTCCACAAAGAATTTTAAGCTGAAGGAACACATGAGCATCCTTGCTTCAGAAGGGGTTCCTTGTCGTGCTCAGGCCCAGAGAGAGGGGTTGGAACTTGGTGAGGGCATGGAAGAGCAATGGTTCAAGAGGCTACTGCTGTAGTTGTGGAGGACAGCAGTCCTGAACTAGGGTGGTGTTAATGGGAAAGGGATGAGGCCAAGCATTCGAGAGACAGTACTTGGTAGCATCAGTAAGACTTGGTGACTGCCGCCCTGGTTCTGTTCTTCCCCACCAGGTATCCAGGCATGTTGCACACCAGGCTGGACTGGAGGGGGTCAAGCTTAGCCAGGGCAGGTGGTTAGGTAGGCTGTCTGTCGACGTGAGTGCAGGAAAAACAGCCTTCTCCACAGACAGTTTTCAGTGAGGGGCCCAACAAGGGCTGTATAAACCTTGAGGAGTAGGTAGGGGTTTTTAGGGTGAGTGTACATCATTGGCTGGGGATTGCTTCATTTGCATGAAGAGAAATTCCACGTGCTTGCTGGACATGTCCTTATAATGAGAGAGGAAGTTTAACCTGTAACGTGGCCACCAGGCTACATGACTACCTCAAGGCTGGCAGAGAGGGCGGCGGGGCGGGTGACCTGGGTATGTGTACCAGGTCATGCCGTCCCAGACTAGGGAGGAAGCAGCCTTCCTCCTGCCAGTCTCAGGACAAGATTTTCAGCTCATGGTTAGGGTTAGACCTCACTCTTGCTCAGGATCTGGCTTCCCCGTTGCATGGCTTTCCGTCCCCACAGGTGACTGGCTCTGACAGGAGAGTTAAAATGCATGGTAGGGCACTGCTATCCAAGAAGGGCTTCTTTAGTGATGTAGAAGAGTGGCTGCTACTAGGGAAGCAGGAGGAGGAAAAATGGACATTTGTTGAAGTGTAGAGGCCATGGAATAGTGAATTTAAGGTTTCCATTGCCAAGTCCCAGTCTGTTAATCATCATTAACAGAAGTCCTTTCCATCCCAACTTTTACCTCTCTGATGGTTTCAATATGTGACAGTCACTGATTGCACCAGACCTCTCCTGTTCTCAGGTCTGTCGCTTTGCACAGGTGATAAAGTCTTTGGCATCTGTGGGACTGTGTGTCTTCATCCTCTGCTAGGAGATTCTTATTTAAGATGTGGTGGTCCACATTTTTAATCCCAGCACTTGGGAGGCAGAGGCAGGTGGATCTCTGTAAGTTTGAGGCCAGCCTGGGCTACACAGATATAGTGAATTCCAGGACAGCCAGGGCTGTAAGACCCTGTCTCAAGTCCAACCCCCACCCCACCCCCAGAAGTTACTTGGAGCTACTCTGAAGTTCTGTGCTGTCTTTCCTGTGCTTTAGTTTCATAGTGTCTTGTAGTTGTCTTATTTATTTATTTATTTATTTATTTTTTAATATTTGTTTTTTGTATTTAACAAAGTTGGGTAACTGCACAGGTGAGATAAGGAGTAAGTCTATTGCATCTTTCAGTCTTTTCTGGGACTAAGTTGACTTACTATAGAAGGTTAGCATTCAGCAGTCAGTCAGGGCAGAGTGGGTGATGCTCACCATTTGGCTTACGTGAGTCACTAGCATTCAGTCTTAGCCTCCACTAATCTAGCTCCATAGTGTCTACGTAAAGCCTTCTCTCTGTTAATGAACTTCTAGTTGAGAGCCTGAGGTTGTCGGGCTGGTGGTGACGTGGTTTCTGCGAACTGCAGAAAAGTTCCAAGTTTTTATTTATTGTCTTACGGCTTTTCCTTTCAGAGTTTCACCCCAATCATGTATCCACACAAGTGCTTCTCTTGACGTTTCTCGAAAATGGGAGAAGAAGAAGAACATTGTTTACCCACCTCAACTGCCTGGCGAACCTCGGAGACCAGCAGTAAGTATATGGGTAGAAAATAATATCTTATTTGTTTTTTTCTTTTGAGTCAGGTCTTAACGCAGTATAGGTTGGTATTGAATTCAACACTTAGCTCAGGGTGGCTTTGAACTCAAAGAAATCTGCCTGTCTTCTGACTCCCAAGTGCTGGGATTGAAGGTGTGCACCACCATGCCCTGCCTGACCAGTACTCGTGTTTTTTGTGTCTACCAGTGGGTGTTTTGTTCCATGTTAAGGGGAATTGTGCAGTAATTTACAGGTTCTAATTAACTGACCTACCTGTGCCGGTTTGCCTGTGTGTCTTAGATTGCCTGTGCTGTTGCCTTTTTGTTTGCCTTTACTCAGCCTTCTGAACTGACCCTAAGGCCTTGAGAAGGGCGATTTTTGACTACATGAGACTTGTTGCTGACATTTCTTTCACTTTTATTATTATTAAGCTTTTAAAATGATACAGCATCTATACATCCCTGTTCTCACTATGTAGATATATAGACCAGGCTAGTCTAAAACTCACAGGTCTGCCTGCCTCTGTGTCCTGAGTGCTGGGATTAAGGTTATGCCACCACACCCAGCTGATAAATTATTGATAAGGAAGCAGAATGAGTTGGCAAGAATTGCTTTAAGCGTTGTGTATTTGAAATTAGGCCCAGTTACAAATTGGGGTTTTGTTGTTGTTGTTGTTGTTTTGTTTTTTTGTTATATATAAACCTTTGAACCTCAGGTTTGTATTGAATCATTGGATGCTTGCCAAAGACATCTTATTTTTAGCTGCTCAGTAATAAAATCATTATTTTATATACTTCAAACTGTGAAAATTATTCTAGTCTGGGATGTAAAGCAACCTCTAGCTTGAAGCGAATTTGCAGCAGCATGCATACACATCTGCTAAAAAGTTCAGGAACTACACATCGGCATTACCACATCCCGTGTATGCAGTGCGGGGCTCAAACCCAGGGCCAGGCAGACATCCCAACAACGGAGCCATAACTCCAACCATCTAATTTTAAAAAATTAGTTAAAATACTTTAAATAACTATTTTAAAAGTGGTAGTAGGGTAATAGTGGGAAGTGCTGAAGAGGTAGTAGACCAGCAGACGAGAGAGAGAGAGAGAGAGAGACAGACAGACAGACAGACAGACAGACACTGGTCCTGACTTGAGCTTCTGAAACCTCAAAGCCCTCCCCCAGTGACACACCAAAAAGACCACACCCACTTTAACAAGGCCATGTGGTGTCCTAATCCTTTCCTATAAGGCCACTCCCTGTTAGCTTCTGGGGGCCGGCTTCACTCACACCACCACGGGAGGCACCATGCTAGGCCTGGATCCTCAAATGCCAGCCTTCTCCCTCTGCTCATAGGCTTTCAGGCTTGCTTTGACGGTTTTAGTTTATAAAAGGATTTAAGATGGCTCATTTCCCTGAACTGAGAATTGTTCAATATCTACTTGGTGAATTTTTTTAGTTTGGAGGCTGAAGAGGTAGCTCATTGGTAAGAAGACTTGGTCTTGCAGAGGAGCTGAGTTCAGTTCCCAGGACCCACGCGCAACTTCAGTTCCAGGGCATCCGATGCCCTCCTGTGACCTCCAAGGGCACCAGTCACGCACTTGATACACATCATGCGTCCAGGCTAAACATTCATCACATAAAATAAAGTAGATAAATTTAAAAATTACAGTTTCTGTTTCTTCCTTACTAATCTTTTAACATAATGAGACTTTGAAAAAAAAAAAAAAAAACAGATTTGTTCCAAAGAATCTCTGGAGCCTTTGTCGTCTTTTATTTGCTGTGACAACAATTTTGTCATTGGGCATAGAGTATGGGAACTAATAGCTATGTCACTGTCGCTTTGATAAGCCTGCTATAACATGTTTTTTCTTTTTTTCTACTTGCAAGGAAATTTACCATTGTCGGAGACAAATAAAATACAGCAAGGACAAGATGTGGTATCTGGCAAAATTGGTAAGCTGACGTGACTACTCCTACTCGGTAACCGAGGAAACGAAGCTGTGGGTTCCTCCTGAAGACGCGCCCACAGTGGAGATGTCTGCCTGAAGTGCTGCCAGCGGGGACTCGCCGCGCGCGCTTGCTCACCTGCCGTAGATTTAATGTTGGGGCACAGTAATTGCTTTTTTCAGACAGGTTCTCTCTGTGTAGCTTTGGCTGTCCTGGACTCTCTTTGTAGACCAGGCTGGCCCCAAACTCACAGTGATCCGACTGCCTCTGCCTGCTGAGTACTGGGATCAAAAAAAGGCTTGTGTCATGGCGCCCAGCTTACAGTAGGTTCTTTTTTTTTTTTTTTAATTTAATTTATTTTTATTTTATGTGCATTGGTGTTTTGCCTGTGTGTATGTCTGTGAGTATCAGATCTTGGAGTTACAGGCAGTTGTGAGCTGCCATGTGGGTGCTGGGACTTGAACCCCGGTCCTCTGGAAGAACATTCAGTGCCCTTAACTGCTGAGCCATCTCTCCCGCCCCCTACAGTAGGTTCTTAAGTATCTGTCGTGGCAGAGAAGAGAGGAAGAACTCGTGCGCCTGCTTGCTTACCTGTGCAGAGGCTTATGCTCAGGACACTGTGGCTCTGTGTATTCTCCCTGGTGAGGAGGAGAGCGGGGCAGCAGCTGCAGAACCCTGTCCCCTGTGAGGAGAGGGGGGAGTGCGGTCGGCGTCAGCCTGTCTCTCAGGCCTGTCTGCCTTAGCGGTTCTGAAGCTGCTGTACATGAACTGTTGCTTTTATGCTCACAGCATTTGATTTTGACTAGAAAATAGGATCCCTTTCAAACCTCTCTTTTCGTATTTTGCTTGGGTTTAACACACAGTTTCTAGATTCTACTGAATTTGTAAGGCTCTTACTGTCATTGAAAGGGAGCATTGCTTTTGAGGAGTTTGTTCATTCATCTTTTCCCTTTTAGATACGCGGTATGTCCATCGATCAGGCTTTGGCTCAATTGGAGTTCAGTGATAAAAAGGGAGCTCAAGTAATTAAAGAGGTAAGACTTGGTAGTTGGGAAGGATGGATATGCAGCCATCTTTAAGCCTAAATCCTGGAGTCCTGAAATTTGTGGTGTAAATGCATTTTTAAAAATGAGATGTATATTCAGTGCTCTTGGTTTTATTAGGTCCTTTAAGTCCCTCATTCCTGAGAAATGGTGCTTTTTACACGTTTTTCCTCAGGTGCCTTTACATGCACCAGGCTTTTTGTTTGTTTGTTTTTTCATGGAATGATTTTAAAACATGACTTGGACCTTATTTTGGGGGTGGTGATGAAGGGTAAACTCAAGGCCTAGAGTACACTAGGGAAGGGCTCTACCACTAAGCTACACTTCCAGCCCAGACTTGGTATGTTTTTTGTTTTTTTAAACAACATCACTGTCTCTTCTTTAATATGTATTTATTTATTTTATATATATGAACGCTGTCTTCATGCACACCAGAAGAGGGCATCAGATCTCATTATAGATGGTTGTGAGCCACCATGTGGTTGCTAGGCATTGAACTCAGGACCTCTGGAAGAGCAGCCAGTGCTGTTAACCTCTGAGCTATCTCACCAGCCCCACGAGAGTCCTTTTTGAGGGGTGGGTAGCCAACTTCCACAATGAGAGCTTATGATTTTATGTAAGTAATTAAGTGGAAAAAGCCGAAGCATGGCATCCAGGAGACTTGGAAGCATGTTGTCTCAGATAATTCTCTTGCGGTCATGGGTTTGTGTTTGTACATAGGGTTGCCAACACCTCATGGGTATAATACTAATGTGCCTGGCACATGGCTGTTCCGTTTTTAAAATGCTGGAGTCCCTGACTCAGATTCAGTATTCCTTGCTAATGGCACAGCCTTAGGGTGTGGGCTTGCCCTTCCCCTACAGAGCCTCCAAGTCTCAGCAGGATGGATGGTGGGCCTATGTTAGTTCTGAGGAAGGGATGCTCACTGAACCCTTTTCTTTAGTACAACTAGCATTTGAAGTTCACTTTGGCTGGGCCTGGTTACACACGCCTTTAATCCCAGCACTCCTGGGAGACAGGCAAGTCAGTCTGTGAGTTCCAAGACTGACAGAGCTACAAAGTGAGACTTTGTCTCACCAATAAATAAATAAATAAATAAATAAATGAATGAATAAATAAATAAATAAATAAATAAGGTAGACAAATGTTCACTATGAATTGTAGGTTTGATCAGGTATACTTTAGATAACAAAAGGGGAGATATATAGTTCCACGTTAGTTCAAAATCAGGTGTGTGAGCAAGCCTTTCTCCTTGTTTAAGGTTCTCTTAGAAGCACAAGACATGGCAGTGAGAAACCACAATGTGGAATTCAGATCCAACTTGTACATAGGTAAGACCTTTCCCATCTCCAGCACAGTGCTGCCTTTCACCTGATGCCAGGTTGGTGAAAGTGGTCTTCGGTGTCTCACTCAGGCCAGTCACCTGTTCTGGCAAAGGTGTTCTTTAGCCCTTAGCACTTCAGGATTGATCCATCATGAGTGATAGATTTGCTGGCGTCTCACTGTGTGTTCTGAGTGTGGACTGGGTTGTGAATTCTCTCACCATGGTTCATGCTGCCACCCTTTAGTACTAGCACCTAGGAGGTAGAGGCTGGTGGCTCTCCAGGAGTTCAAGGCCAGCCTGGTCTACATAGCAAGTTCCAGGACAGCCAGGGCTACATAGACTATGGGTTGTAGGGTAAAAAAGGTAGATGAATTGTCAAGTGGAAGAAGCTCAGTAAGGGATCACATGTAAACTTTAAGGGTCATTTTATGATGTACCACACTAGTGCCTCTGTTGTAAGAGTGACTGAAGTGGAGTCTTCTAGTTATCAGGCTGAGAGATCTGCTGATCCAGAAGAGAGGAACAGACAGACCAAAACCACTGAATTATCCAGTCAGTGAGTGGGCAAATGAATTACACAGTTCTTAAGAGGAAAATATAAAAAACATGGAAAAAAAAAGTTCACCATCCTCAGCTAGGTTGGGTAGTGGGAGCCTTAATCCTGGTGGGGATGTAAGCCAGTGCAGCCGCTGTGGAAATCAAGGCAGAGAGCCTCAAAAACGAAAAGCAGACTGACCACCTGGTGTGGCCGCACCCTCCCGAGCACACACAAAGGACCCTGAATCAGCATTCCATAGACCTGCACACCCATGTTCCTGGGGCACTGTTCAGAACACCCAGGATAGTGCACATGGACAGGCCAGAGTGCCTCTGGGTCAGATGATGGTTCTGTGGTTACATCTCTTTGCACATTTATGTGGATTCCAATGGCAAATTCATGTTGTCAGGCTTACAAGTGTTTCCAGTCCCATTCCTGCCTTTCCTACCTCTGTGTTGGGGATGGAATTTTCCTTCGACTGCAGGACCATATGTAATCTGTCTCCCCGTGCTCATCTTTCGTCTCCACTTGTTTGTGTGCCACTTAAACATGCTTAGTGTCATTGTGCCCATGGTCTTCCTAAACAAGCTGCGTGTGCTTGCATCAGAACGTGCTTATTGCCCTCTGACAGGAACATCATGGAGGGTGATTCTGCTCTCAGGTCAAGTTTCTGTTCCTCAGGGAAGACTTCCTCAGGAAAACTCTTGTTTTTATGTCTGAGAATCAGTCTCATGTCGCTGAGACTGGCCTCACACTTGCTGTGTAGTTAAGGTTGATCTTGAGATGCTGATTCCCCCTGCCTCTGCTTCCTAGATTACAGGCACCGGCACCATGCCTAGTTTCAGGGAGGTGTCCTGGCATCTCCACCATCCCGTGAGTCTATGTCATGTTAGTCAGCTTGGCTTACTTCATGAAAGTCGCCATTAATTGAAGTTTTTATTGTGCTTGCTGTCTTTGTCTTCAATGGAGCTGTGTGGCAGGGTCCGTGCTTCACCCCTAGAGCAGGGCATGGTTCCTAGGTAGTGCCCAGGAGACTGAGGATGCCTGTCCCAGCCAAGCAGCGAGCTCCTGCACTCCCAGGATCTAGCGAGGGTGGTCAGGGCCTACTCAGCGGGTGCAGATGCAGTGCTGCAGAGAGCAGGCGCTGTTGTGACTCTCTCTCTTTCCTCTATAGCGCGGTCCACCTCAGGTCGAGGCCAGTGCCTCAAGCGCATCCGTTACCATGGTCGAGGTCGCTTTGGCATCATGGAGAAGGTCTATTGCCACTACTTTGTGAAGCTGGTGGAAGGGTCCCCACCCCCACCTGAAGCCCCCAAGACAGCAGTTGACCACGCCAAGGAGTATATTCAGCAGCTTCGCAACCGGACCATCATCCACGCTCTGTGACAGCCTTTCTGGCTCCTCAGTGTATATAGTTCACATTTATTTTAACAAGTAAAAACAAGTGATTTTTATGTTTTCTCATGGAATTATTGAATTGCAGTGTATAACTTCAAGGTTTTGTGTGTGTGTGTTGGGGTACATATCCCTTTGTCCATGTTCAGGAGTCAGAGGATGTTTTGGTTTCATTTTTCCAAGACTAAGCGGACGTGAACGAACCTTATTGCATTCTAAAACCACGCAGTAGGTGGCACTCTCCTCATGGCTGAAAGCAGTTATCAGTTAGCCTCACAGATCACTCCCTCCCTTTCTCCTTCCTTCCCTCCATTCCTTCCCCTCCCCAACCATCTGTGAAGAATGGCATTGGCATTTTGATGTGCATTTCTTGACTCTGTATGTTACTTATTATAGTAGGAACACTTTAACCCAAATCCTCAATTCCAGGCTCTTTTTTGTTTGTTTGTATGTTTGAAACAGTGTTTCTCTGTGTAGCCCTGGCTGTCCTGGAACTTGCCACACTTTCTAATCCAAAACCAATTCAACTAGCTGTGGGCCAAGTATTGTAATATATGAGCCTATGGGGCCATTCCTACTCACACTACCACAGTTTTTTTTTTTTTTAATTTAACTTTATTATTTTATGTGTATGGACGTTTTGCCTGTGTGTGTGTCTGTGCACCATATGTGTGCAGTGCCACATGTATGAGGTCAGAAGACGCCTTCAGGTCCCCCGGAACTGAAGTTACAGGTGGTTGTGAGCTGCCGTGTGGGTGCTGGGAATTGGACCTAGGTCTTCTGGAAGGAGGAGCCCAGTACTCTTAACTGCTGTGCTGTCTCTCTAGCCTAACACATATTCCTGACAGAGGTGCCAGAAACAAATGACAGGTGAGGTGTGGTGCTAGGGAAACTGGGTATGCACACGCACAAGAATAAAATATCTGTCTCTCTGCCTGTGCAAAAAGCAGCTCGGAATGGATCAGAGACCGAGGTGCAGCCAGAAACGGGGAGTAACACCGGTAAAGAAGAGTCCACACACACTGTCAGACTGGGAGTATCCAAACAGCAGAAGGCCGCTGCACGAGCAGGATCTCCAGTGAGAAGAGGCCCCACATCCACGGAGAACTGAAAGGAATCCTATTTTAGTGCATTGAGGTGTCAAATGCCTTTAATGCCGGCAATCGAGAGGCAGAGACAAGTGGACTCTGTGAGTTTGAGGCCAGCCTGGTCTGTCTATTGAGTTCTAGGTTAACCAGGGCTACACAGGGAGACCCTGTCTTCAAAACAAAACAAAGCAGAAAACCCAGTGCTTAAAATAGACAAATGATCTGAATATCCCTTTGTGAAAATGGAAATACCAGTAGCCCAAAGGTAAGTGAGAACCAGTGTCTTTAGGACTGCTCTGGGGCCAGCCCTATCACTCCTGGGAAGACACGGAGGGCTGGCTAAACACAGTTAACTTGGTTGTTAACACCTGCAGAGGAGACGACAGCTTTTCACGTAGGAAGCAAAGTGGATGGAAGCAGAAGAGCCTGTGCTTAGGAAATAGAGACTGTGACAAAGTGCACTTTCTCACCCGAGGAAACTAAAAGAACTGAAAGTGGTCACGCTTTCACACTGGGAAGGCCAGGCAGGGTGCACTGGCCAGCACACACGCTGTCAGTAAGTGTGGAAATGCCATATTGAAAGCTTGGCAAATGAAGACATAAGAGCATTACACACATGCAGACAATGTCATGAAACCATGTGTATAATTAGAATATGCTAACACATGTAACAGAAAAATGTATAGTTGATATATCAATAAAATGAAAAAAATCAAAAATTCTTTTTAAAAGGTCTCGATTGCACAGGATGATAAAGTGAAAAGTGCAAGGCTGTGGGCCTGCAGGGTGTCAGGCAGCTGGGTGCTGAACTGTTTAGGATAGGGGTGCTGGGCTACAGAGCTCAGAGCCTGGGAGTCCCTCCTAGTCCTTCCTCAAGGATCATTTCCCAAAGCTGATTCTTAGGTGATGCATTCTCTGGGTCAGCAGGGGGTCTGGTCAGGAAGAGGGGACTGTGTTAGGAATTCCACCCAGGATTGCCTTAATGGTGATGGAATAAACGAGGCAAAAGGGAAGCAGAAGACATCTACAAATTACAAAGTCAGGAAACTGCTGCCACTTCTTAGATAAGATGCAAAGAAAGACCTGCCAGAGCTGAGGGTGTGGTGCTTCCTGCCAAAAGCTAGAGCCAGGAAGAGCCTTTCTGTGGTGCTGGGGCTCTCAGGCTCCAGGGCAGGCTGGCCGTTCTTGAGAGCACTCAGGAACACCACCTGGCCTTGTGCGATGTCTGCAGCTTCCATGGCAAAAGGGGTTTTCATAATTTCAGAGCTATTTTTGAAGAGTTTGACTGTTTTGTCTTCAAGTTTGCCACATATGTCTGTGTGAGCAATTTCCTTCTGTGTTTGCTGTAGTCAGATAATGCAACATGCCCCATCCCGCAAAGACACCCATATCCTCATCCCCAGAACACTGAATGTGCTAGGAGTATGCTAGGTTACAAACGTAATCCAAACCTACTGGTGAAATTAAAGTGTATGATGTGTGCACCTTAGAGTTTCCTGTTTTTCTCGTGATCATGGAGTTTTAAAACTGTAAGAAAGGCGACAGAAGGGAAAGTCAGAGGGAGGTGTAGCTAGAGAAATGCAGCTTTGCTGGCTTTGAAGAGGGCCAAGGAATCTGAGAAGCATCTAGAACTAGCAAAACACAAACATTCTTCTATGGTCTCTGGAAAATAATACAGCAGGTGTCTGTCTGTTGGTTTTTTTTTTTTTTTTTTTTTTTCTGTACTCCCTCCTAGACTTACCCTATGTGTTCTCTTTGCAATAAAACTAAAGTTTCAAATCTAGCACTTTCCTCAGTACTGAGAGCCACTCTAGCAAATTGCTGAGCCTGAGTAAACGTTTATTTATTTATTTTTTCTTTCTATGTGGGACCTCCAGATTTGCTGGGAGCCCATAGTGAGTTAATGAGGAATCCCAGAGATTCAGAAAGTCTACATCCAGGACAGAGAGTGTAACATAAACACTTTTTGTTTTTTGCTTGTTTGTTTTTTGTTTTTAATTACCCCCACAGAGGCTAGTTGTGCAAAGGGGGAGTGAGGCCATGAGTGGATTTGTAGGCTCTGGGTTCTGAGCTCTGTGACGGCATGAATACAAACCTGGGGTCTAGATGAAAACATCCCTCCTCAGTCACTGCACCCTCCTTTCGTTACCATGCTGACCCTGCCCGATGGCCAGGCTCTAGTGGCTTTCGGTTTCTGTGCCTAGAAATTGCTGTTATGAGAAGAAGATTACTTTCATTTTCGTGTTCCGGGAAGTTTCTACCATGCACTGTTGGGATGCTCCCCTCCCTTTGCTGGCTAAACTTCTGAGGGGGCAGCGCAGCAGCTAGGTATAAACCTCAAAGCTCCTCAGACACAGCTCAGCCTTTGCTGCAGTGGTAAACAAGCACTGCACACTTGGATTTCCAAGTGCAGGTTTGTGTGCACTTGCTGTGGCTGGTGCGGTGGGAAGCTCTTCACTGGGCCTGTTCTCGGCTCTTCCAGTGGAAGGATTAGGAGGTCAGATCTCTTTTTCTCAACCTGGTGAGTGAGATAACCACCTGCATGCTTGATGCAGTTGGGGCGCCATGGGCTTAGGCTGAAGGGCAGGATAGGTGGCGGGGGACAGCTAGAAAGCCGTCTGGAGAACTTTGTTGTTTGTTTTTTGAGACAGAGTTTCTCAGTGCACCTTAGCTGTCCTGGAGCTCACTCTGTAGACCAGGCTGGCCTGGAACTCGCAGAGGTCACCTCCTGAGCGCTGGGATTAAAGGCCTGTGCCCTCACCACCTGGCTCTCAGCCAGATGTTTTCAGAGAGCAGTCCAGGCTGAGGGAAAGACAGGGGTATTGATGGTTCTGGAGTGTATTGGAGATCACCTGACACCAGAAATCCCCTACCTAATATCTAACCACCTTTCCTTTTTCCAGCCACAAACTCAAGAGTTCATGTGCCCTCCTGAACTCTGGTTCCTCCACCAGACTGTGGGCTGGGCCTTGGTCTTCTGCAAAGAACCCTACCATCAGAGGGACAAACTTCAACTTTGAACCCCAGCTCTGATCTTAGGAACAGCAGGATCCCTCCTGCATGAGTTTCAACTCTTCAGTTTCTTTGACCCTTAATTTTATGATGGAGAGGGCTGGGGGTGCAGCTCAGTGGTAGGGTACTTGCCTAGCATGCACAAGGCCATGGGTTCAATCCTTAGCACCCTACAAAAAGAGTGCTTAATTTGGAGGTGCAAGTCATTATTACACTGTGTTTACAGGGTTGTCGGGATGAAGTGAAACTGTGTGTTGAGGCTCATGGCACACATTCCCAACATCCCTTTTCATTTTGTCCTGGTCTGTTCTCAGTGGATAGATGCACTCCCAAGGGTTAGAAGACAAGGTTCTGGGTGTCTACCCTTTTTGTACCCAGACTTGCTCATTCTAAGACTTAACATCTATTCTCAGAGTTGCTGCCGAGTCAGATGCTGTGTCTGCACATGCCGGGTACCTAAGAATTCTTGGTCTAAGGTGTGTGTGTGTGTGTGTGTTCATGCAGGAGTATGCGTGTGGGTAGTTATTCTGGACAGTAACAGATACTCACGGTGGCCGACAGATCCCCCACCTACCCAGTGATGAACCAGATGTCTCTAGTTCTGTCAAGGAGAATTCTTGCCATCTCTGGTCATACACACACCAAACCAGATCTTGTATACCTGCTCAGATGAATTCATTCTTAAACTACCCTTGCCCCTTCTAGTCTTCCTGTAACAGGCTGCCAGGGAGGCCCCAGTGGAAATGCCTGCTCCTTCACTGTAGCCAGAGTTTTCTTCAGCCTGCCTTCTGCCCCGACATCTACCCTGACTGGTGGCAGCCTGGTTTCCTGGTCTAGCAAATTTACCCTTTCTCTGTGAGGTCCAGTACAGAGGGTTTGCATCTCATCCACTATGTTCAGTCATGGATGTGTGACTTCTCCTTGTGTCCTGTGACCTGAGAGGTCATGTCAGTTCCAAAGTGACAGAGGGATCTTCTTGACGTGGCTGACAATGTCCTCTTCAACCCCTCCTTGTATCATTCACACTACCTCTTCTGCCTGTGACACATTCTGCGGGGGTCGGTCCCAGAGGTGACTTCCCTGGATGGGTTTGGACTCTTTATACACAAGATGGAACATGGTGAGGAGTTGGGTCTCAGCTCAAATGGACAAGCTCTTAGAAAATTCCACTGAGGGACCAGATGACTCAGTAGGTCAAGGCGATGGACACTAAGCCTGATGACCTGAATCCAATCTCCAGGCCCTAGTGTTGGAGGGAGAGAACCAACTCTCATGTCTCCCCACCTCCCCCCAAGACAGGGTTTCTCTGCTTAGCCCTGACTGTCTTGGAACTCACTTTGTAGACCAGGCTGGCCTCAAGCTCTGAGATCCTCCTGCCTCTGCCTTGCAAGTACTGGGGTTAAAGGTGTACGCCGCTATGCTCAGCAAGATTTTACTTTGCAATAAAAGTTTTAGTTCCACAAAGGAAACAAAAGATAGGTAGCGGCCTCATGTGTGGCCTTGCCCATCACTGGCCTTCCCTACCAGAATGGTGAACTGCCACTGACACACTGTGGCCAGACAGTCCAGAGACTTTATGTGAGCATTGCCTGTAGGTCATATACATCCAAAATGCATCTCAGCACACACTCAGTTATGGTGTCACACTGAGTATTTTCATTGCCCCCAGTCCTGCGTGTTGCCTTGTCACTCGGGGTCCCCACAACGCATGGCAACCACTGGCTTGATTTTTTTCCTATTGCTGTCTGTATCTGGAAAGTCACTCAGTAGGTATGATGTGCTGTCAGACTCAAAGCCACCTTTGTAGGTGGCTTCTTTTACTTAGTCTTTTCACAGCCTAGCAGTTCAGCTCTCGTGCTGCTGACCAGTACATGGTCTTCCTGGGGGCTCCGCATCTTAATAGTTCATTCACCTACCAGAGGGCACAGTGGCTATTTTCAAGGTTTGTAACTATGAGTAACCCTTTATAAACATCCATGGGCAGGTTTTTGTTGGAGCAAACACGTAAATGTATGTTGACTCAGTTTAATTTAGTGCTAAAGAAACTACTGCCATGTTGTCTTCCAAAGTGAGCATTCCATTTTATTTTATTTTATTATTATATTATATTATATTATATTTATTTATTTTAATTTTATATTTTATTTATTTATTTTTAATTTTTTATTTTATTTTATTTTTTATTATATTTATTTTATTTTACTTTTATTTTATATTTTATTTATTTATTTTATTTTATATCTGTGATTTTTTGAGACAGGGTTTCTCTATGTCTTTTGAGACAGGGTTTCTCTATATTTTATTTATTTATTTATTTATTTATTTATTTATTTATTTATTTATTTATTTATTTTCATTTTATATTTAATTTATTCATTTATTTATTTATTTTTAATTTTTTATTATATTTATTTTATTTTTATTTTATATTTATTTTATTTATTTAATTATTTTATTTTATTATATTATTTTATTTTATTATTTTATTTTATTTTTGTGATTTTTTGAGACAGGGTTTCTCTATGTAGCCCTGGCTCTCCTGGAACTCACTCTGTAGACCAGGCTGGCCTTGAACTCAGGGATCCACCTGCCTCTGCCTCCCAAGTGCTGGGATTAAAGGTGTATGCCACTGTTGGCCCAGTGCTATTGTTGTTTCAAGAGTTACTCATACATTTTTTGGGTTGAAGTCTTTTATTGGATGTGACTTTTAAAAATAATTTACTTAATTTTATTTTATGTGTGTTAGTGTGAAGGTGTCAGATGCTTTGGAATTGGCATTACAGACAGTTGTGAGCTGCCATGTAGCTGCTGGGAACTGACGCCGGGTCCTTTGGAAGAGCAGACAGCGCTCCTAACCTTGGAGCCACCTCTCCAGCTGCCTGGATGTGACTTTTGCAAATATTTTCTCCCAATCTGTGATTCTCTTGTCAGTCTCCTGCTACTACAGCTTTTCGGAGAGAAGTAGTGGGGCTTATTTCTAACATTTATTTTGTTTTTATTTATGTATATGTGTGTTTGTCTTCACGACAGTATGTGCCTGTGAGTGCAGATGCTCTCACAGTCCAAAAGAGGGTGTCAGGTCCCCATTAACTGCTGAGTCATCTCTCCCGCTGGGCTCTATTTTACATTGTTCTCTTTGTTTGCTCTTTCAGGAACCCCACACTATCTTACTGTCTTATAACTTCATGGCAAGCCATAGTTGTTGTGTGCATGTGGTAGTGGGGATTGAACCTAGGGCCTGGTACAAGCTAGGCAAATTATGTGCCTCTGTGTAATACCCTAGCTCTTTGGGATGTCTCAAAGTCAGGGACTGTCACACCACAAATGGGCTGCAGTGTGCTGGCGCTTCCCCTTTGGCTTATTAGATGGTGCCATGTCCAAACTTTTTTTCTTTTCAAAATAATGAAAATAAAACAAGGTGAAAAATTACTTAGCCTAGGAAGTTTGGCTTGAGAAATCAGATCTTGAAATTAATGAACAATCTCTTGAGGGAGCAAAGAGGCCAAGTCTTAGAAACATCAGTGCACTGAGCGGGGAAATGTTGCCAGTCCTAGTGTGAGTTTGGAGAGCGGTTTTTGCTTTAGCTGCAGTATTGAGCCCTTTGGCACTATGCTAACCTTTGACCTCCTTTCTGCCTTCCCTCTAGTGTCCTCTGCTGCCCACAGCCATGGGGAAGTCTTCTTCTAAAGCTGATGAAAAGGCCTACAATATGGCCTCCAGCTTTAATGAATTCTTCAAGACTTTCAAGATGCAAAGCAAAGTCATTTCTGAGGAGACTATCAATTCAATTCAGTTGCTTATACAGCAAGGGGATATACAACAGACAGTTTCTGCAATCAATGCTGCTTTGACAGACATTGAGAATGCCCCCCTGAGCATTGCAGTGACAGGGGAGACTGGGGCAGGAAAGTCCACTTTCATCAATGCCCTGCGGGGAATAGGGCACGAAGAGATCGGTTCGGCTAGGAATGGAGCAGTGGAGATAACCATGGAGAGAGAGAAATACACCCACCCCAAGTTCCCTAATGTGGCCATCTGGGATCTCCCTGGGGTCGGGACAAGTAAGTTCAAACCTGAAGACTATCTGAAGAAAATGAAGTTCCAGGAATATGACTTTTTTCTTATCATCTCAGCTACTCGCTTTAGAGAGAATGATGCCCAGCTGGCCAAAGCTATTAGAAAAATGCAAAAGAGGTTCTATTTTGTTCGAACAAAAATTGACAGTGATTTGTATAATCAGAAAAGATGCACACCCAAGGCCTACAATGAGGAAAAAATCCTGAAGGATATCCGGAAAAACTGTGAGGAGAAGCTCCAGGAGGCCAGCGTAGACTCCTCCCATGTCTTCTTAGTCTCCAGCGTTGAGGTGGCACAGTTTGATTTTCCTCAGCTGGAGGCCACCCTTCTGAAAGAGCTGCCAGCACACAAGCGTCACATCTTCATCCAGTGCCTCCCTAACGTTACCGAGGCTGCTATTGACCGCAGGAAAGATGTCCTGAGACAGAAGATCTGGCTGGAGGCCCTGAAGCATGGCGCCTTGGCCACCATCCCCATGATGTCCTTCTTCAAGGATGACATCGAGGAGCTGGAGAAGACCCTGCTCCACTACAGGGCTTGTTTTGGGCTGGATGACACGTCGCTGGAAAACATGGCCAGGGAATGGTCCCTGCCTGTGGGGGAGCTCGAGTCCATCATGAAGTCACCCTATTTGTTGTTAGCTGAGACAGATGAGTCTGTGGGAGAAAAGCTGGTGAAATACATGGAGAAGATTTTTTCTGTCACCGGTGGATTAGTAGCCACTGGCCTTTTCTTTAGGAAGAGTTACTACATGCAAAATTACTTTCTTGACACAGTGGCTGATGATGCTAAAATTCTGCTTAAGAAAAAAATCTTTTTGGAGGGGGGTGTGGACTCTGAATAAAGATGGGGAGACTGAGGCAGCTGGGCCTGCGACTTAGGTGATGCTAGCGTTTTCAGGGCACTGTGGGGTGACTTACGTTGTTCCCGAAGCACCCTGACCAGGCTGTGATATCTCTTAGGCTTTGTGATGCTTGTACAAATAGAGGCACCGGCATTATGTTATGTCACACCCAGCATGAATCTCGTGATGATGTCACTATTAACTTGGATACAAAAGCTTTCGAAGTTTGTTTGTTAGTTTTGTTTAGACAGGGTCTCACTATATAGCCATGGCTGTCCTGGAACTCCTTCTGTAGATCCAGCTGTCCTTGAACTCACACAGAAATCATCCTACCTCTGCCTCGTGAGTGCTGGGATTACAGGTGTGCACTACCACACCTGGAAGAAATGATTTTTTTTAAAAAATACATATATCCAAGGCTTCACTTGGCTTTGAGCTGCTCTGCTGAAGCACTCCCAGGCTGACTGATGCATTTGTTCCTTTTAAAGTTGTCCTGTGTGCAGTTCATGTAATAGAATTCGACAAAAACAAAAGGGGACCATTGCCCGAGTGAAAGTGTTTGCTGCAGCACTACTTCAGAGGTGCAGGGACACCAGACAGGGATGTGTAGTCTGAGGTTTGCACACCAGAGTCCTCCCATGTTAAAAGAGAACTTGTGCATGAATCCGTGAGGCTAGGAAATAAGAGGAAAGACATTAGTGATCAAAGCGGAAATCTGCCCAAAACACAGAAGTTTCTTAGCCATGGGGGAAGATATTCACTCTCCCATCCAGTGGCAGAAATGTAAATTAGAAGCCATGCCACTCTTAACTCTTAATTGTGTGAAGTTGAATTTACGAAGGAGAACGTAGATCAACAATTTCTGTGGCTGCAGCGTTGGTGTCAGCACAAAAAATCACGATGTAGCCTGTGACACGGGCAGTGATGTGGCCTCTGAGGAAATTACGCCCACAATTACTCTTAGACACTAAACATTGCAAAATGCTGGTTTGGTTCCCAGCATCCATGTCAGGCAGCTCACAACCCCAGAGCCAGGGGATCTGACACCCACTACTGGTCACCAAGCGCACCTGCACTCACAAGCGTATGCCCTCATACAGACACACATACACATTAGTAAGCATGAAAAGAAATCCTCAAGAAAATGTTTCTCGATAGAAGGTGGGGCAGCCAGACTATTGCCTGTCAACTAGACAGAAGATGAGGATTAGTGCCTGTTGCCCTATATTATCCTTGCTGGATGCAATCACTAGATGTAGACACAGTTTGAACAGTACATCACTGCTGATCCATGCAAATTCAAGACAAGAGCATATTTTCATATATCTCCTAAAGAATACAGTTGTGTTATTTTTAAGTAGAGGTATAGTATTGCCTAGAGGTGCAGAATGAATGCTAGACTTTAATGAATAGATGTGGCCATCCAGACAGGTGGTGGTGGCACACGCCTGTAATTCCAGGAGGCAATCTGAGCTCCAGGTCAGCCAGAGCTACACAGAGAAACCTTGTTGTGAAAAATAAAGACCAAAAAGAGATATGGTCATCTAAATAGCTGCGTAATTAAAACTTAAAAGATGACATTTCTAGGAGTAGAATAAGAAATGAAATAAAAATGGCATGAGCAAAGATTATTTTAAATGAAAGATTGAAAAAAAATACATTCAAAAGAAAGTAAACTTCTAGTTGAATATATCCCAAGGGTATGACTAAAACTAAGAAATCTTAAGCTTGACAATAGCAGTCAGAGCATCATTGCTTGACTAGGGGTGTGGTATACCGTCACATAATGAAGCCAATAACGTTAATATCACAGAGTAACGTGAATTTCAGCAGAATAGACGAGGCATGAAGGGTGGCTGGAGAGATGGCTCAGCAGTTAGGAGCAGTTGCTGCTTTTGCAGAGGATCCAAGTTTGTTCTGAGTGCTTTGATTGGATGGCCCACAACTGCCTACAGCTCTGGTGCCCTCTGACCTCCACAGGTTCTTACATACACTTAGCCATTCACATATGTAACACAGTTACAAAAAATACCAAGAAAGAAAGCCGAGTTCTAACTGTGTACTAAAATGCCCTTCAGCAGTGTCTGTTCTCCCCAGTGGACATGCCTAGACCATGCTCGGGACTTAGAGCTCTGCAGTGTATAGACCCCAGGAACCGTCAAAGCTGGAGCTGTGCCAGAGGAAGTGGAACGTAGCTTGAGACTGACAAGTTCGGGAAACTGAAGCATGAGGTAAAACCAACGATGCCATGGTAAAACTGAGCTCCAGCGGTTAACTCTGAAACATGCTAAGTAAACTGTATGAAAAGGAAGAAATCAACGAGAACTGTTTATTGTCATTGAAGTGTTTAACTTGCCTGTATAGATTATACACTATTTTTTTTTTTTGAGACAGGGTTTCTCTGTGTAGTCCTAGCTGTCTTGGAACTCACTCTGTAGACAAGGCTGGCCCTGAACTCACAGAGATTTGCCTGCCTCTACCTCCCGAGTGCTGGGATTAAAGGCATGTGCTACTACTACATGACCAAACTGTATTTTTTAATGTCAGTTATGAATCAATAAAGTCTGAGAAAAAGGAAATGGACCTAGATTGTGATTCTTTGCCTGTGTGTTAGCTTTCTGTTGCTGGGACACAGTGGGGGGGGCACTCAAGATGGAGTCCTTGGTAGTATGGGTTACCAGAGTTGGGGTCACCATAAATGGAGGTAAGTTCTCAGGGGTAAGGCCACCAGGGACGGGGTCACTAGGGGGAGGATTCTCAGGGCTGGAGGTTCTCAGGGGTGGAGTACTGGAATTCATCAGGGCTGAGAGTCCTTACAGGTGGGGTCCTCAAGGATGAGGCCACCAGGGTGGGGGTTCTCAGACATGGAGTATTCAGGGGTGAGGTCTTCCAGGCTAGGGTTCATCAGGGGTGGGAGTCAGTATTTGCTTTGTGATTAGCTATGAAAAACATACAGAGGCGTGAACGGGGCAGTCTACAGTGAGCACAGCATGGTTCTCCATGTGAGGCCTTGTAAGCATCCTGAACAATAGAACTATCCCTTTAGCTTTATAGCAAAACAGCTGAGAGGATGACATAAACTCCATTTTGTCTCCATCTCAGGACCAGGCCTGATTTTAAAAGAAGTCATCAGTCCTAGGATTAGGCCATTGGTTACCAATTCCAGGAACAAGAGCATAAAATATCCTTACCCAAACACCAGCCTGGAGATAAACACAAGAATCTTGTCTCAGGATGGGGCATCTGTGCGGGGCAGCCTTATCTCATCCTGTAGCCAAACATTCATGGCACAGGAATTCTGCCCACCAACCACCAGGAAACAAGCCAATCAGGAACCGACGCTTGAAACTTCCCTGGCCCACCATTGAAGTTTTAGATTACCTAACTCTTGCTAGAATCCCCCTAGTTTCCTATAGAAAGGCCTGCACGCCTCTGTCTAGGGTCACCATTTTGTAAAATGGTTTGACCCCTGCATGCAGGTTTTCGCAAAGTAAAACACTCTTGCCAATTGCACGTGTGAGTGGTGGTCTCTGGGCAGTGATTTAGGACTTAATACAGCAAGCACTTTCAGACCCAGGCTCTGTGGAAAGATGGCGGCCTGACTCCAGGCCTAGCAGTGTCGTCTTCAGTGATCCCAGCACAACGTGGCACCCTCTGTCTGCAGGTCCAAAGGGTTTTCTTTTCTAGTTTTTCTATTTTTGATTACATTTTATTCATTTATTTGCTCTCCGTGTGGGGAGCACAGGCGTGCCACCCTGCACATGTCAGAGAACATGTAGGACCCAGGAATTGAACTCAGGCCGCCAGGCTTAGCAGCTTTTACCCTGAGCCTTCTCTCTGGCCCTCAAAAGGTTTTCTCGCTGGCCATATCTAGAAAGAAAAACAAAACAAAAACAAAAAAATCTCTGGCACCAACTAGATCCAAAATTTAAAATTTTCACTTTAACAGTAGAAAACACTGAGCCTCTTGAAGCGGCCCCGGCAGCACAGGGCTCCGCAAACACAGGTATGTCCTCCCCGGAAATCACACACTCCTGGGTCAGCCCAGAAGGCAGAGGGAGGGGAATAAATAAGGTCCCTGGAATGAGACTAAGAGAGGCCTGGAGCAGATGGAAGGCTTGTGTCCTTCCATCACGAGGGAGTGTCCCTGTTGCTGAGACCCACATCAAGAACAAAACCAACAGGTAAGCTTTAGTTTCTTGCCGGGCAGCACAAACATTTCCAGGAAAAAGAAAACTGTTTTTGTGATTTGGGGACCCTGAGTTGTGGAGGAGGTCCCAAACTTGGGACTCCTGAGAACCTAGACCTGCAATAAAACGTACATCAGTAATTTATAGTCACTCGGAATCAATAATGAACAGCTGCAAAATCCCTATGGAAAGATAAGGACCACCCAAAGCAATAAGAGGACATGGGAGGGACAAAGGTCGAAGGTGAAATGTGATTACTATACATAGGGCTACAAAGCTCCTGTTGACCTCTGAAGCTTAAGATACTGGATTGAGAGTAAGTATAAGGCCGTAGAGAAACGCTTAGCAGTGCAGGGAATGTGTTCCAAGAGACTGCACCTGTTGGTAGCTAGGTATCTGTCCGTCATCCCTGAGCTCACCCTTCTGAGCCACAGAGGGTGGACTGTTTACTGTGGGTCGGGGGGAGGTGAAGAATTAACTGTCATAATTGCAGGCTAGTTTGGGAGTTACATTTTTTTTTTCCTGTGAAATACGCACATAGTAGCGGCCCGCGGTCAATGTTACATGAGAAGCCCTTCTCTCTGGGGAAAGTGGTGAATTGCCTCTTAATCCAGAAAACATGGCTCTATTTGTGTAGCAAGGGCAAAGAGCTTGAGTCACAGTGACTCAAGCTTCACTACACACTGGCAGAACAGGCTTGTGGAGGCAAACACAGGCATCAGATAGCTGAACACATCCGGAAGCCCTGTTTGTGGGTTGGTTTGTTGTTTTTCATGTTAAGAAGGTTGCATCATTGGCTTTTAATGGAGTCAAGTCATTGTTTTACCTTGAATAGTTTTATTAGCAAATTGAATTGCCTATTTTCTTACTCAAATAACTTCATTTTTAATTATGTGTATACCGGTGTGTTAGGGGAATATGTGAATACATATGAACACATATGCCTGTGAAGGCGAGAACCATTGGATTCTTTGGAGCTGGAGTTATAGGTGGTTGCAAACTTCACGATGTGGGTGCTGGGACCAGAACCTCCGCCCTCTTCAAGAGTTGTATTTACAGCTGAGCCATCTCTCTGTCTATGATCAAATTATTTTAGAAGGTTTAAAAAGTGTCTCCAAATGACTTTTTTGCATGTGTAAAGCAAGAAGTGAATGGAATGGATAGCACCATGAGTAACTGATCTACAAATGAGAAAACCATATTTTGTGTGTGTAAGCTTAAAAAAAAAACAAATTAATTAATTACAATTTATTCGCTTTGTATCTCGGCTGTAGCCCCCTCTCCCTTGATAGGGGAGGTCCTCCTCCCCTTCTAGCCTATCAGGCCTCATCAGGGCTGGCTGCATCATCTTCTTCTGTGACCTGGCTGCACCCCCCAGGTGGAGGTGATAAACATGCTGGCCATTGAGTTCCTGTCAGAGACAGCCCCTGTTCTTCTTACTTGGGAAACCCATTTTGGGCTTCCTCTTGAGCAGGGGTCTAGTTCTTCTCCATGCATGGTCCTTGGTTGGAGTATCAGTCTCTGCAGGCCTCCTTGGGCCCAGGTTTTTTGGCTCTGTTGTTCTCCTTGTGGGGTTCCTGTCCCCTCCAGGTCTTTCTCTCTCCCTCTTCTTCCATAAGGCTTCTTGCACTCTGCCCAAAGTTTGGCTACAAGTCTTAGTATCTGCTTCAATACCCGGATGGGTAGAGTCTTTCAGTGGCCCCCTGTGGAAGGCTCCTGTCCTGTTCCTTGTCTTCTACTTCCGACATCTATCCTGTTTGCCCTTCCGAATGAGGATTAAGCCTCTTTGATAGGGTCCTCCTTGTTGTCCAGCTTCTTTAGGACTGTAGATTTTAGTATGTTTATCCTATAGTACATGGCTAATACCTACTTAAAAGGAGTATATATCATATGTGTCTGAGAAAAATATATTTTGGAAGGTGACAAACTGTTTATTAGCAAAAGGAACATGGTCTGTTGGTTTCTAAGAACTTTCTGGGTGTAAATTTTAATTTTTCTTGTTTAACATAAAGAGCCTGCCCCCCCAGCTGTAAATCTTCAAGATGCTCAGGAAAGACAAATGAGAATTTAGAGACACAGCTGTGCCTAGAAGAGGCCAAGAAATTGGACCAAAAGAATATCATGAGGGCTGGAGAGACGCACTTTCTGTACAAGTGGGCAGAGCTGAGTCTGAAACTCCAGAACCCACGTACGATCCACAATACTGAACAGGTCTGTAACCCTAAAGTTCCTACTGAGAGATGAGAGGCAGAGATGGGAGAGACCATGGAAAGCCAAAGGCCAGCTGGGTGGGGGAGCACAGAGGAAAAAAAAAAAAAAGATTCTGCTTCTGAACAAGGCGGAAGGTGAGCACTGACATCCACTCACACTCCGTGGAATGCGTGTACACCTGCACTCACGTACATGACCACATATGGACAGATCACACACACGTTATATGCAGATTTTACAAATAGTGAAGAGCATGAAGAACCGCTGCCATTTCCTCCAGCCCCACCCAGCGAGGTTAAGAGCACTTACTGCCCTTAGAGCGGGGCTTCCGGCACCCACACAGTAGCTCACAGATGCTTGTAATTCCAGCTGGGGGAGCTGACTCCTTTGGCTTCCTTGGGTATCTGTGTGTACATGGTGCACGTACTCTCTCTCTCACACACACAAATAATGACAAAAGATTCACTCAGCAACAACTAGTAGTCAGGAGACAAACTGACACAAACACAATGTGACTAAGGAAGAGAGATCGTACTCAGACCCTAGCAGGAAGACTCCCCCACCCTTGAACAGAGCTCTATGCCTGGGATCCAGCTGATCCCTTTTCTTCTTTCTCTCTCTCTTTTTATGTGCATTCTCTGTGAGGGAATCAGGTGACCTAGAACTGGAGTTACAGACAGTTGTGAGCTGCCATGTGGGTACTGGGAATTGAACCCAGGTCCTCTGGAAGGGGAGTTAGTGCCCTTAACTGCTGAGCCATCTCTCCAGTCCTGGTTCCTTTTCTTTTTCTAATGTAGTGACCTCTGCATTCAGGATTCTGCAGGATTCTCAGGATGTGACCTCACTCCATCATTCCGACCTATCGCAGCCAATCCTCCTTGATCAAGGAAGCTTCTCAGGCCAGGTGTGTGTGTGAGAGGCCTGGAGTCAGGGGAGACAGATCTGAGGTTGTCACCCATAAGTGCCAACCAAGAAGACATGCTCCCTGGAAAAACAGCATACCTCCTGCTTTTTCAGGTGCAATCCTCCCAGGCAGAGCTCTGCAGGGTCACTGTCCCCCAGCACAAAGCTGCCATCTAGGATAGGACCCGGACAGAGTACAGCAGAGTGTGAAAATGGGCAGCCTGGACTATGGCGCACCCTTGGCAAAAATTTTCTGAAACTGGGTTTTCCTCTTT